AAAAGTCATAGTATATGTTGTCCAAAACCTTGAAAAAATGTCATAGTATAGTATGTTGTCCAAAATGGTGGGAAAAAAAGTCATAGTCCAGTATGTCGTCCAAAACCATGAAAAAATGTTATCAAAAATCTTAAAAAAAGTCATAGTATAGTATGTCATCAAAAAGAGTCATCGTATAGTATGTCATCGAAAATCATGAAAAAAAGTCATTCTATAGTGTGATGTCCAAAACTTTGAGAAAATGTCATAGTATAGTCAGTCATCTAAAACCTTGAAAAAAAGTCATAGTATAGTATGTCATCAAAAAGAGTCATCGTATAGTATGTCATCGAAAATCATGAAAAAAAGTCATTCTATAGTGTGATGTCCAAAACTTTGAGAAAATGTCATAGTATAGTATGTCGTCAAAATCATGAGAAAAACTCATAGTATAGTATGTCGTCCAAAATCATGAAAAAATGTTATACTATAGTATGTCGTCAAAATCATGAGGAAAAAGTCATAGTATAGTATGTCATCAAAAATCATAAAAAAGTCATAATATAGTATGTCATCAAAAATCATAAAAAAATGTCAGTATAGTATGTCGTCCAAAACCTTTAAAAAATGTCATAGTTTAGTATATCGTCAAAATCCATGAAAAAACGTCATAGTATAGTTTTTCGTCCAGAATCATGAAAAAATAATAAACTATACTATGTCGTCCAAAATCATAAAAAAAAGTCATAGTATATGTTGTCCAAAACCTTGAAAAAATGTCATAGTATAGTATGTTGTCCAAAATGGTGGGAAAAAAAGTCATAGTCCAGTATGTCGTCCAAAACCATGAAAAAATGTTATCAAAAATCATAAAAAAAAGTCATAGTATAGTATGTCATCAAAAAGAGTCATCGTATAGTATGTCATCGAAAATCATGAAAAAAAGTCATTCTATAGTGTGATGTCCAAAACTTTGAGAAAATGTCATAGTATAGTCAGTCATCTAAAACATTGAAAAAAAGTCATACTATAGTATTTCATCCAAAATCATGAAAAAAGTCATAGTATAGTGTATCGTCAAAAATCATGAAAAAAGTCAAAAATCATGAAAAAAAAGTCATAGTGTAGTTTGTCGTCCAAAACCATGAAAAAAAGTCATAGTATAGTATGTCATCCAAAACATTTAAAAGAATGTCATAGTATAAGTATGTCGCCCAAAACCATGAAAAAATGTTAAATGCTGCTGTTATAGTAGTGTGTCGTCAAAAATCATGAAAAAAAAGTCATAGCATAGTATGTCGCCCAAAACCTTGAAAAAATGTCATAGTATATAGTATGTCGTCAAAAATCATGAGAACAAGCCACAGTATAGTATATCATCAAAATTCATGAAAAAAAGTCAGAAGTCGTATAAAATCATCAACAATCATGAAAAAAGTCATAGTATATTATGTCGTCCAAAACCATGAAGAAAAGTCATAGTATATAGTATGTCGTCCAAAACATTGAAAAGAATGTCATGGTATAGTATGTCGTCCAAAATGGTGGGAAAAAAAGTCATAGCATAGTATGTCGCCCAAAACCATGAAAAAATGTTAAATGCGACTGTTATAGTGTAGTATGTTGTCAAAATTCATGAAAAAAAGTAATAGCATAGTATGTCATCCAAAACCTTGAAAAAATGTTGTAGCATAGTTTCTCGTTCAAAACCACGAAAAAAAGTCATAGTATAGTATGTTGTCCAAAATGGTGGGAAAAAAAGTCATAGCATAGTATGTCGCCCAAAACCATGAAAAAATGTTAAATGCTACTATTATAGTACAGTATGTTGTCAAAAATCATGTAAAAAAGTAATAGTATAGTATGTCATCAAAAATCATGAAAAAGAGTCATAGTATAGTATGTCGTCCAAAACCATCAAAAAAAGTCACAGTATTGTATTATATAGTATAGTGTAATCAAAATGTGCTAAAAAATGTGTGGAAAAAAGTCATATAGTCATAGCATAGTATGAAAGAATTGTTTTTAAAAAGTCCCAGTATTTTATGCCATAAAAATGTCTTTTGCGAAGGTGTATGACCAACCTGTAAAAGTTGAACCTGTCCTTTACTATCTTTGGAAGAGGGCTGAGCAGATTGTGTTCACAATTACTGACAGAAATCCCCCAGACATTGGAGGTGACTGTTTTTTCATTAAGTGATTTTCTTCTATTAGTGCAGCGTGGCTTTCTTTCCTATGTCTGTGCATCCACCTCTTTTATCCTTCCATGAACTGTCTACAGTAGGCCAGACTAATCCAGATCACTTTCACAAAGCTGCTGTTTCTAAAAGGGATTACAATGGTTAAGCAATCGCTTTAGCTTACTCTCACAGGCCAGCCTCAGAGCCAGGTCTGTCTGCTTTACTGACTCCACTTTCATTGGTCCGACAGTGGGAGCAGTGAGCCGCCTCGGCAGCAGCTGATCTTATTGCCACTTAACCAGATGCCATGGCACTCCTCGAACACCTCAGTGGACGAGAGCACTGATTGGGATGCAAACAAGGCTTGTAGATGAAGACAACACAGTACTCTAGGGGACTGTTGTGTTGGCTTTGACCACTATGACCTCTGACCTCCCCTGCAATTGAAACTCAAGTGTTGTTGAAAGGAAGAATGACGTTTTTGAAAAGGCGGTTTAAACCCAGTGATTAACTCATTGTCCTGCTCTGTGAAATCAAAAGGCTTTAAGTCGTTTCACATTCTTTCTCAGCATTTATCATGTAAACTGATGTCAGCTACTGTGTATAAATGACAGGATATTATCCCTGCTGATGGGAAATGTATGCTGATGGCTGTAACAGTGTCTGTGCTGTGATAAGTCGGCTCCTAAAAAGATATTAGCAGTTAATGGTCTCCTGCTGTTTTTGTTCATTTCTTCTTGAATGAAAGCCATTGTGTGCAAAAGTGCAAAGTGACATTCTGCTCATAGCCTATCTCTCCTGAGTTCAATTCGAGAGGAAATGAATGTTTGGCTCTTTTTATTGCTTCCTCCAGCTGGGGCTCTTGTCCCTGGCTTCGATGCTGCTGCATTAGCTGGCATTAGAGGGGTCATTCCCACCGCTGGCTGGTTACATCGTGACTGCCACAGCTGGCAAACACCCAAAGACTGTGTACAATAATGGACGTAGACACACCCACTGGTTTGAGAACTCCCCTTTGAACATGTATGTACTATAAGATCTAGATACCGGATAACCAAAATGGCACCTGTTCAGTCCAATGAGATCTGCTCACCATACGTCAAAAAAAAGTTTCTAATTTGAAAGGGTATGCAGGGTAATTGAGTATATGCTGGCTGTGCCTGTGAGAACCTGTTGACTTTACAGTGTAATGACATCACAGAATTTTAAATAATTTTGCTAGATTACAAATATAAAACCTCCGTGGATTATGAATAACCTCAAGCCTTAATGACATTTAAACAAGAGTTATGTAAAAATTCAACCTTTTACAGTTGTCATGAATGGAGAAACTAACTGTAGAGACCAAAACCAATTTCAGTAAGGACCACTTTAGTCAAAGAAAGCTTTATTTACAGTTGCAGTATTATATTTGGCGGTATGGCTCTGTTCTGGGGCCCCTCTGCCTTTCCTAGGCCTATGTAGAAAGCCTCTTCCATGCGCCTATATGGAAAGTTTTAAGGCAGAGAGAGCACATCTCTCTGCCCTTCCATGCGCCTACATGGAAAGATTCATGCAGAGAGGGCAGCAGCAAAGACCCCCCGGAACAGAACAGAGCAGCATCAATGACAAACAGAAATTACATTGGTAAGTCAGACACAACATGAAAAGGAGGAGCTGGGGTGTAGATGAGTTGCAGATTGGCTTGCAGAGGAAGCAGCAACAGTAGGCAGGCCAGAGAAGCCCTGGATGTTGCTGCTTGTGGACACCTTTGTGAATTATATCACTGACAATAACGAGGTAAACAGGTGAATCAATTGAATTATAGTAGAGTTATTGGGCCTCGGTGACAGCTCGGAGCGGAGACGCACACATTACACCATCCATCAATAGACCATGTAAGATGCAGGAAGCAGGGGCATCACATCGAGAGGCAGTAAGGGTGACACTGTTTGTTTTTCTCTCCAACACATGGACAAAGATCGGCCCAGTGACCTTTAACTGCAACTGGATATCTGATGGGCTGCAGCATGTGTTTCAGTGAGGGTCACTTTCAATATGAGGATGCCTCTGGTTTCTCCTAGGGAGAATGGCGCCCTTTGTCCCAGAGACCCCAGGGACGTGGGGCATTTGAGGGGAGATTTAGGATTTAGTGAAGTTGTATGGGTGCTGTCCTAGAAGCCTGACTAGAAGGCACCCCTGCCAGTTATTAAGCATCCACTCTTTGATCCCCGGTCCCTCCTGATGCTTAACTGAAGAAGCAATGGAGCACAGGAATGAACGGGAGGCTTTCATTCAAGCTTTTGTCTCTGCTCTCTCTCTGTCTCCATGCATGTCTCTCTGTGAGAGGCTGCTGTCTTCCTAAGCCTGTCCATCACAATAAGCCTTTTGATTCCTTAATGACTGTGTTGGAAAAAGCAAAAGAACTGGGGGAGGGGGACATAAGGTAACTCTGAAAAAGCACCTGCAATCTGTCTGATAAGAGTGTTGTCTCATAGATTTTAGCCTGTTTGTGTTATAGTGGGCTGTGTATGATACAGCTATGTGCATTGTGTGTGTAAGTGAACTCTGGCCAAAAATAGCCTCCGTAACATCAAGGACAAGTCAATTAGAAAAGGATTAAGGGATTGGGACCCATGAGCGCCCTCAGACTCTCCCGAAAGCGCGAAGGGGAATCGCGTGGGAAATTGAGAAGCTCGTCTGAGCTCGTAGCAGACAAATGACAGAGCCAACAGAGTGTATTCTAATATCACTTTTCATAGTGCAGAGATGCCGGGAGCAGGGCCGACACTGAAGCTAAACACTGCGTTTGATCACTGGTTCAGATAGCTTGAATTGTGCCCAAGCAAGCAGAAGAGATCATTAAAAAGGCATGTAAGTCATTTATTCTTTTGGAACACATTCTCCATATTATTTATGACACTTTCAAGCATTACAACCAGACAATCTCATACACTTGAACATCATAAGTAAACTTGATTGGTCATGAACAACTTGATGCTTCATATATGGGTTTGCATTCAGTACTATATATCCATATAAACTTTGCAATACATAAATAACAATAACTGTGCGTCTCATATCAATATACACATTCAGTACATAAATACATGTGTACAATGACACAGCATAGAAATATAACTTGATGCCTTTTATGAAACAATGGAAAATATACAGATTCCTTGCTCGCTCATTACAATAAATCTTGCTGAAAAATTGCACAGATCTCTCACTAGAATACATGACGAGTCCTCCTGAATAAATGAGTGAGGACTCAGTGGGGTGTAATTCACAGTCGATAACATTCAGTGCATCCGAGACCCTGCAATACAAGCCATGAACACAGTCACATGTTGTCAAGATGAGCTCACTGAACTTCACGGGTCAAAAATGGGAAATGGAGTGCCTGAGGTGTGGGTATGAATTTTGGCAAGCACGTTTTTCTTGTGTGTGTTTGTGTAGCTTCACTCCGGCAGCTCATTATACACATCTGGGACACAGAGACATGCGGATTCATGCGAGTGTTTGAGATGCATGAAAATAATGACGTCGGTTTAAGAAGTGACATTTCAGAAGTGTTGCTGTCTCCTCACACTGCAGAGAAATGAGGCTGTTGCTCACTTTGTTAGCATCCCTGCATCTTCATCTCTGTCTCAGGTGTCAGCAGCCTCTGACTCTGGGAGGAGATAGACTGCAGCTCTGCTCTCAGAACAGCATGCACTTGTTGTGGATTCAAGGCGAGACCTCACCCCCTCCCCCCTTCCCCAAACCATCTGCTGACTGAGTGGCTGTGTGGGGTTCACCTGACGGCCGCGCTGTGTGCTCCTGGACTTTGACTGAAAAGCCAAACTGCTGACTCCTTTGACCGCTGGCTTTGAAATGGAGCATGTTTATGTTACTCAGTTCTGCTATTATTAGCTCCATGCCGTTCACATGCCCCATTGAGAACAGCACATCATGTGCCAGTTCATGGGGCTGACTTTGGCACTCGACCATCGGCGACTCACACTGACATAAAGCAGAGACTAAATTTACCTGACATTGGGCAAGGAGTACGAGGTCTAAAGTATGTGAGAGTTTGTGCTGGTGTTTATAGGATGATGCTGTGCTGTGAAAAATTAGGGCATGACTAAAGGATGTGAAGTCTGAATTCAGTTGTCACTTGGTAACCTGCTTCTTTATGGCACATTCATAATGCTGAAATAAGACCTACTGCTTTACTACGCATGCATGAATGCTGATCAAACCCTTACAGCACCTTTCGTAAGGCGTCCCTTGAACGCCTTTGTCATTTGTGTTGTAAGAGAGGAATACCAGGGGAGTCATGCCTGCACTATGACGTTGTCCATCATCTTAGCGACCATGCGACTGAGGAGTGATACAGAACTTAATGTGTTCATGGATGTCGCAGTGCAGCACAGGACGCCTCGCTCTAGTTGGGGTGGGATAGTCCCAATGCTGTGGCGATGGCGGCCATTAGGAGGGCGGAGCTGGCCAGGATCACTGCACCTCCGGACCGGTACACCTGTCGGCCGTTCAGGGGCTGGACCGGCCTGAAAGTCCCCACCATCGGCTGTCCATCATGAAACTTGAGCTCAGAGAAGACCCGCAGCTGGAGTATCAGATGATAAACACAGTTGTTAGGTTACAGTTTATGGAAAGAGATGATCAAGATGACTGAATCTAAATTCACTTGCATTTCTCTACATTTTGTGGTTTTAATCCTAACCTGATCAATGCTCAGATGGATGGGATTCTCAAACACAGTCCACACCACAGCCTCAGTGCAGCCCGGAGTGGTCAGGGAGCCCTTGTAGCGGTAATAGGTGGTCAGATTCTGCTCTGGCGGGATCAGTTGTGCCAGAGAGATGGCAGGCAGAGAAGTATTGGCACCTGAAAACAGAGAATCCACAGAGGAAACATTAGCAACGCTGCTGTGCATCCAGGGCCATTAACACCTATTCAACTGTTTTTATTTATTTATTTTTTTTGACTTACTATACTATGACTTTTTTTTTAAACAATTTTAATGACATACTATACTGTGACGTTTTTTTTTTAACATATTACACTATGACTTTTTTTTTAACATATTATACTATGACTTTTTAAAAACTTTATAATGACATACTATATGACTTGACTTTTTTAAATAACATTTTTATGGCATGTTATTCTTGTCATACTATACTGTGAGTTTTTTTTAAATAATATTTTCTAAAGCATACTATACTATGCCTTTTTTTATAAAATCTTAATTAATGTTTTTGATGACCTACTATACTAGGAGTTTTTAAGACTTTTTTTACATACTATACTATGACTTTTTTTTATGATATTACATATGTGCAGCCATGTCTAGTTGCTTATATTGAACTTCAGAACTTACCTGTAGTTTTGATGCTTCGCAGAGCGTTGATGATGGGATCGTATTTTCTGTTTGCACCACTGGACCTCTAAAAAATATACACGTTTCATCAGCATTGTGTCATTCAGACTTGAGGTTTGTAATAGCAGTTTGATCTCAGTAGTAAAGGATTTAAAATAGTTACATCATAGAAGAACCCAAGGACTGCAACTCCCTCTGGATCCGATAGTGCTGTTTTCAGATCAGTGTAATGGTGCTTCATGTGAACAATGTGCAGCTGTAGAGAAAATATTACTGATGTTAAACCTTTTTTTGCAAGTCATGTTTTACAGTATGTGTAGAATCTTACTGTAAATGGGACAAAATAAAATCAGTTTGCAGACATTGCAACATTTGTTGAGTTCATGCTCTAACAAAAACCAATGATAGACTATCAGTTCAAGTTTATCAGCTCTTAATCAAAAACGTGTCTTAAAGGACTTAAATGACATGATCCTACTAACAAGTCTGTGTATCCAAAGCCTGCTATATCATATTCATCTGTTCCATTGAGCTCTATTGTTTCAGAAATACTTTTAGAAACAAGTCAGTGAGCCACATCATTGTTCCTTCAATGCTATGTGTCAACCCTTCATACACCATCCTGCTGCTTTAAACAGTTTCCAACAAATCCACTATTTATTCCTGCTTGAGTAGCGTTTGAGCCTTTAGAAAAACAACAGCCATATATTTATGGCCTGTTTTAAAGATGTATGTCTTGAGTAGGAATGAATGGGCTGGAGGCTGGGAGCCACAGACAGGGTACGGAGGTAGGGAGATGCTGAAAGATGGACTGATGCACAGTTAGTCTTGGTCTTTTAATGAGAAAAATTACACTATGCTTTAGCCTTACACTATAAATGTACAGTACGTTTACAGACATTTTTTAAAAGTTTAATTTATAGAGTAAATCTGCTTTTTTTTTAAACATAATTCAAATCATTTTTCTGTTGTACTCCTGAGTTTCCAGCCTTAATGTGTGAGCGAACCTTTAACAGCTTCAGTTTATAACTTGACTTAAGACAGGCTATGTGTGTTTTGTTTGTCAGGTTAAGGTACCTCCATGGGATACTGCTCCCCGTCGATGGTGTGTTCAGAGCCAGGCCCTCCATTGTTGCCCCAGTGCAGGTGGAACTGCACAGCCTTGTAGGTGGATGGCAGGCCTCCTTCTGAGATGGTGCTCAGGTGAGGAATTCCAACCTGAACTGGAGTGTACACACACCAAGCATTTAGACGTCACATGACAGCTTCAAAGATGGGTATCTGATGTTTAATGGAAAATATGCTTACCTGAGTGGCCGTTGTTTTTGATGGTGCCTCTGAAGAGCTGTTGGTAGTTGTCGAACTGGAAAGGTTTCAGTCGCTCGTCTGGCAGAGTCTTCCTGGTGACAATGTTGATGGGCGACTGGTATCTTCCATCACAGTTTCTGTCAGCGTGGTTCCACTTCTCTGGTCCTAAAACAAGAAAAACACAAGTTACACAAGTCTGGTTTTGGAGTGGGTCATAACACAGAGAGAATTTTTCATTTGTGTTTTATTGCTTTGAAGTCTCACTTTAGACGACCACTTGATTTTAATCAAACATCATTCTGTGGGCATATTGGGTAACATTTTAGATTGTTTTTTTCTTCCCGTCTCTCTGACAGGACAGCTTGCGTGACTGGCGGACTGTAAATCCTTCACTACCCAATTCATGCATGGAGTACCTCAGGGATCAATCCTCGGTCCTTTACTACTCTCCAACTACGTTACCTTTAGGTCAAATTTCAAAATCATCGTATGGATTTTAAATCTAACTGCTGCTTTTGAAACATATGACCACTTGACATTAATTGAACATCTTCAGCATTCTGTTGGCATATCCAGTAATATTTTACATTGTTTTTTTCTTCCTGTCTCTCCGACAGGACATCTTGTGTGACTACCCAATTCATGCATGGAGTACCTTTACTACTCTCCATCCACGTGTTGCCTTCAGGTTAAACGTCTCAAAATCATCGTATCGAGGTTTCATTTTTATGCAGGTGGTTCTCAGTTTTACTATTTTTGTTTTACAAATACAAATTTTACAATTGCAGTTTAATGAAAAACTTGTTATCTCAGAGCCTCCTTCAGTAAAGTGCTAATAAATCCGATTAGTATCATAGATTTAATATTCTTGTCTTCATCCCCGCATTGCAGAAGTCCTAGTGTCACATTTGATTACAGGCTTAATTTTGATTGACAGGTGAACCATGTTGTCCAATCCTGCTTCAGCTGCCTCAGCAAGACTACAAACAAGACCAAATACAAGATTGCAAATTACACCAGTATTAGCATCTCTACATTGGTTGCCTGTACGTTTTAGAATAGATTTAAAGACTTAAGTGATCACCTTCAGTATAAAGGCATGCATGGGATTAGCACCGGTCTATATTTCTGACTTGCCAACCCCATACGAGCCTGAGATCTTTGGCTAGGTCTCTATTAGTAATTAAACTGAAAACCAGAGCCTGGCCTTTTGAAGTCAGGGCCCTACGAGTCTGGAACAGCTCTTTATCTCAACTCAATCACCGGAAAAAATGTTGGTAAAACTGCAAGCCACAGATTTGTTTCATTTGTACGTTATTATGAAGTGTATACACTGAGAGTTAACGGTTCTTGATGTTTCAACAATGCCAAAGGTAACATGGAGTTAGGTTTAGACACAAACACCTCTTGCTTATTATTTGGAAAAGATCATGTTTGGGCTTACAAACAACTGCTTTTTATGATGCTATCCCTGGGTAAACATAGCAACGGGTTGCTAAAAAACACCCGTGTTTGGTGACTAATAAGCTCCTGGAAACACAGCAATGACACGCTGAAAACAATTGGCATTGTTTGTTGGTCTTCAACAGTGGTGTACAGTGTGGCTCGTCTCGCCTAGGTGACACACCGTCTAACATCCCCTCCACCTCCTGGTGTCAGCTCATGTAGAGATGTTGATATAGCATGTATGAAATGTACAAATGGAACATATTCATGGTTTGCTTTTGAAATGTGGTTTTGAAAAGTTGTTTTCTATTTAACAATGTTACACTTTTGTATTTAAATAAGCTTACCATTGCATGGGTGATCACAGGAGAACTGGGACTGATAGCACCAATCTGAAACACAGGAAATGAAACCAGTTTTATCAAGAACAAGGTTTTCATTGATGAGACATCTCCATCTTGAAATTTTCTGTCAAAGCAAATGATGTAAAGAACATGAACACACACTGTATCAGTCAGCCTGCACCGTTAACCTCTGAGTAACACCACCGAGCCTCGGCCTATTGTGAGAGCAGAATGGGATGTTTCCTCTCAACGTATACACTGACAACTGTCCAGCTACATTTTATGTGTATTTATAAATGTGTCCTTTTTTAAAATAGTTTATTTTTTTCCTTTACTGCAATCAGTGAATTGTTCTCCTATTGGTTTAAGTCAGCTGTTATTCCCGGCTATACAAATCCCCCTAATACACAGGAATTGTCTTCCTATTCAGAAAAAAAGTCAGCATTTGTGCTTTATCTTTCCGTGCTATCAGAATACACACAGAGCTAATCTTTTGCATCAGCGAGGGCCTATTCTCACATGTTTGTCTGGGGGTTTATTAATAATTCACAATTGGTTTGCATGTTTCCACCCCGTACTCGGAGACAAATATCTGCAGCTATCTCACACATCAAATATTTATGAAAAACACACATGCCATTGAAAAAATACGGGGAGGGTCTCCCGCTCTGTTATTAGACTGGTGCGAGGGCTTCTCCTGGTGTTTGTGAAGGAAGTCAGTGTTTGGTTTCTTTGCCATGTTGGTAAGCTGTTTCCGCCTGCTCTGGCATGATAATGGGGACTGAAAATAAATGTAGCATGGGGGCAAACATTTGGGTGGGGGGTTCAGATTATATTCACTGGTGCCATCATTCACCGTACTGGCCGCAGTAAATAGAGAGATGCTCATGTCTTTGATTCATTTTGAAATTAATATTCTTGTTGCAGGATTTGCATATGTGTGACCGGAGCGTGAATACTGCAGAGGAAGAAAATATTCCAACTCAGAAAATTCCTAATTACTCTGTGACTACCGCCTGGGTGCTGAGGGTATTAAAAGATTATGATGAATTTCAAACCTTGACTCACATTCGCCTGCTGCATGGTCTAACAGCAGGGGTGGTAGCTGTGAAAATGTCTCCTCAGAAATCTACATTAAAGGGTAACTTAAGTGTTTTTTGACTGGGATCCTACTTTCTCATGATTTTGTGTCTAAGTGACTAATGGGAAAAACCGTTTTTAAAACTGGTCCAATACTCAGCGAGTGCTGCAGCCAGCAGCCATGAAACAGGCTGTAATGTAACCATTTGGGGCATTTGTGCACCATCAATTTACATCCACTAAAATTTGGTTTTTGTCACTGACAGGCTCAGATTGTTTTTCTATGTGTCTGACAACATTATGGAAAGAGAGATAGAGCTTTTTGTTAAAGAGTAAGATCTTTTTTGTTTAAGCAGAAACAGCCCCAGAATCGCTTTCATCAAACTCACTAGACTCCTTAAATAAACAGAAATTCATCGTAAAACACACTTCATTCAAAGTAGACAGAAACAAATAAAGTTAAAAAAAAATAAATAAATAAAAAAGGCCTTGGTTCATCTTTCCACTTTTCAAACAATCACCAACTCTGGTTTGGTTGAAATAAACCCTTAACTCACCCAGTTAGATGTGAAAATATGCTGCATCTTTACACGCTGAAATTATTATTATTTTTTTTTTAACCTTTTGAAACCTGGAGCAACATCACTTTTCTTGTACTGTTTTCAGACGCCTTTTGTGAGTATTTAAACCTTTGCACCCTGAGCAAATTGGTGTGATTTCTTTCAAAAACATGGGAAAAAAGGCAATGAGCAACTAAGAAATATCCCACAAATTGTAAAAAACAAACGCACAAAAAAACAATAACACAGATTTGGAAAAAAAAAACACCAGGGGGAAAAAACTATATTTATAAATATTATTCTAACAGCAAATTAGCAATTTTTCCAGGTGATTTCCAGGTTTGTTTTATTACAACATAACTTTATTTTTTCTTGTTTTTAATTTTCTCTTTTTCCTAATTTCTTTTTGATTTTCTGGGTCACTTCTTCTTTCGTTGCTCGTTGCCTTCTTCCCACGTTTTAACAAGAAATCAAGCCAATTTGCTCAGGTTTTAAAGGGTTAAATGGAGTCTTGTGGGTTTGGAGAAAGCGATTTCTGTTTCGGGGGGCTGTTTCTGGTAAAACAAAGAGGATCTTACTCTTTAACAAAAAGCTCTATCTCTGTAGGGATCCTTCCCATAATGTTATCAGACATTAAAAACAATCTGAGCCTGTCAGTGGCAAAAAACAAACACTCTTAGTGGACAGAAACTAATAGTACACAAATGCAGCGCTCTCATTTAATACTGGACTCGTTTCAAAAACAGCTGTTCCCATTAGTCACTAAGACACAAACTCATGGGAGTTAAGGGTCCAGCTGTAAAATACTGAAGTCACCCTTTAAGGCCCCAGCTAACATCATTTCTAACATTAGTTTTATCACAGCTGTGTGAGTCCTACAGAGTAAAATGTTTTACATCTGATAACTGGGATAATAAAGCCTCTCCTTCATCAGTCATGATGCTTTTTATAAAACATGACAGCGGCTGACTGACAAAACTGCAGTTAAAGTTTATCCACCTCCACCAACTATACAAACACATAATAATCCGGTTATATAACAGGGTCACTGAGTATTTTTGCTTTTCCTTCTTTTTAAAATAGGAATTTTACAAGTATTTTCACGTCTTCACTGTGACTGCGTGGGTGGTATCGATTAAGTACTGACTGAATTCTTCCTCCATCATTGTCCGTGAGTACAAATATCTATTTTTATGGCTCACAATCGCTCGTTTTTATCTCAGCCAATCAGATTTCTGTCCGCACAATTCTTGACCAATCGGAGCTCGGCTTTGATCTCTGCGCGGCGCAGGGGCGAATGAACAATATGAGGTTCAATGGATCTGAGAGCGCTGCCAAACTAAGGAAACTGTCAAGAAGAACAAAATAAAACAAAGGGCAGTGAAAGGAAAACAAATACAGGCCACGTCTGTGAGCACGTCGGCCACGGTGAAAAGCTGATGTGAATAATGTGAGTGCGTGCCGCGGAGACGGATCGTTTTATGCCATTGTGTTGGGTGGGCCAGACATAAACTGTGCGCTGCAGACGCTGCGCGGAGCACACAAACACGTCCCAAAATAAAGGGACAGATTGAAACTTTATACCCTGTCAACCTCGCACAACCTTGTGCAAACGAGATGTTCGGGACTGGTCTTGTGTCATTGTTTTTTTTGGCTGATGCATTCATGTCCCGGTTTAACACCTCAAACACACAGCACGTTCCTCTCATGCACACAACTTGTTTTGCACCTGCGGGTCTGTGGTGATGAAATGTACCCAGAATAATTGAGATAAGGAGCTCTCTCGTGGTGCGTGTGACCGACATTAGGTCCTCCTCGCTACCTGAATGAGCGCGCATCAAATCCCCCAAATGAGCCACACTGAGCGTGTCTAATAGTTTGGAATATCTACATGGACTGGTGCTTTATCTCATGGCACAAAGAGATACTCTAAAACAATAAGTCACGCGTATTGTTTAACTCAGGGAGTATTATTAGAGCTTTTAGCTTTGGCTCTATACGCGCTCAAATGACGGCAATTTCTGTTTTAGGGGGGCTGTTTCTGGTTTAACAAAAGGGATTTTAATTTTTCACAAAAGACCTATCTCTGTGGGGATACTTTCCATTATGTTGTCAGTCACTAACTGTGACTAATCTGAGCCGGTCAGTGGCAACAACAAGTTTAGTAGCACCGTTACCAAACAGTTGTTGGCTGCAGGAAACCATTTACTCTCTTCTCTGTTCACACTATGTGACTGCTTTTGTCTCTTTAAGGACTTAATTGGAATTCTGAGCAGCCTGAAACTAATTATACATCCTGATTTTAGCACATTTTCAAGAACAGATGCCCGCACAGTACAAGACGGATATGAATTAAGGAGGAAACGCAGCAGGGGCGCGTTGGTGATATTTCCCTCCAGATGTGTTTATTTGTTAACTGATGACTAATCGCACCGCTTGAAAAGCCTCCAAGTCACCAGCCAGTCATTTCTGATCATTCACGCCATTAGAGACCTTGTGCCAAACCGCCACTGACATTAACGCCTCACAATCCCCCCCGCTGTGAATTTGGAGACATTGGCTGCGCGCAGCTAGACGCGTCTCTCTGCGGCAGCGAGGACGCAAACGTCTGTCATTGGCTCAGCGTGGATGTAAGCAGGTGCACGAGAGGCAGAGGGAGAGATAGAGACACAGAGATGTGTCCGGACACAGAGGGAGTCTCAGCTCGGTCAGATCTGCCTGCTCGTGTCTCACACAGGATCCTATCATGCCATTGAACAGGGAACAGTGATGTCGGACGCGCGGAGGAGCTACCCGGTGCCACATCAGTGTGATGGAAAGGGCAAGTGTGTGTGCGAGGGAGCTGTGGCTCTTTTTTCCCCTCTGCGGAGCATTTTTATCAATCTGATCAATCAATTTTTGGGATTCCGCGGCATATTAAGTTAATGATTGAATAAAGTGACCGGCATGGTTTGGAAAAAATGGTAAAAGCAACTTCACCTTGCTGCACATCACTCCATATTTAATGTTCAGTGTTTCTATCAATTAAATTGCTTACATTAAGTCAGATATTTATAATCTAAGATGCTCTGGTGTAAAATAACCTCACATTTTGATCAGATATATACAAAAATACACTTTAAAAGACTGAAATTCAGCAGAATAAAAAAAAAACCTACGATTCACTCAATTAACCAACCCCCTGGCAGTATCTGTATACATATAAGCAGTACAGTGTCAAGATAAATCTAAATCATAATTTCCACTCACCTCCGGCTCCTGTGCAGATTGTCCAGGATGATGCCAGGAGAGCGAACAGGATGAGCTGCTGCTGCATGTTGGAGCTGAGTCGAGCGACAGAAGGCAACACAATGACTTGTTTTCCAATGTGATCGCATTCTTGCAGGGGGTCTTATACTTATCTATCACCATACCCCGACAGGAAAGAAAGAGTGGCCCCTCCCCCTTCGGGCATCGCCTCTAATAAAGAGGTAGTGATAAGAGGGGGGCCCCCGTCAATGGGCTCCCGGTGCGCAGGAGCCAGATCCAATGCAATCATTGCTGGTAGAGACACTTCCGGCCGGTTTGATTGGGAATCAGAGGGAGTTAATCATCAATGTGGGGCGGCTCTCAGAGGAGTCACTGTGGAGAGAGAGAAGAATATTCTTGTTATTATTCAGCTCTCATGTTCCTTTGCACTAAAGGTTAGAGAGCTCATTGGATTTCACACAGTCAGCACCACATATGCTCTGTATCAGCAGCTTACTGTATTGAAACTATATCATTCACACTATGAAAAATACTCCATTACATTTAAAATTCAAAATACTACTCAGTAAATATACAAGTATTAGCACCAAAATACCAAAAATAAAAGCACTCATGATGCAGAATGGCCCCTGTCTGTGATATATTATTATTTTATTGCATCATTATTATTGATTTTGAAATTTTTGAGGTACGTTACTCGAGTATTTACTTTGAGTATCTACATCTCACTTTTTACAGCACTACATTTATTTGAACTTTAGTTACTTCACAGGTTCTGATTATTTATTCAAAATATAATCAGTTAATAATGTTTTTTTAATGTGATATTACAGATTAAACTACCCAAAAGTATATAAAGTGATTAATATGAGCTCCAGCTTTACCAGCTGCAACACTAAGGAGATGACAGGATTAATTAAGGATTAAGAGTTTGAATGCAGGACGTCTACTTATAACAACATTTTTTACACTAAAGAGATGGGACCAAGTCGTTGCTTTGCAAGTCCCAAGTCATAAACTTTGAGTATTGAGTCCTAAACAAGTCACAATGTGATCTTCAATAAATGCAACGGCATTTTAAGAACAGAGTAATAATATATTAAATTTACAAAAATCTTTGCTTTTTAAAATCTGTTTATTTGTTAAAACAAGTTTGTTTGAAGTTGTTGCATCTTTGTCTGTAATTTTTGGCCCACATGTTTTACATATTGCAATTTTCATTTATTAAATTATATATTTGACCACTGCATAGTTTACTAAATGATCTTTGGTATAATTTTTTCAAACTGGCGCTCAGTAATGTAACTTTAGTTCCTCATGGTTCTCTCCTGACACTCAAGTACCATGCTTAAGTACGAATTGGAGCTACTTGTACTTTACTTGAGTATTTCCATTTTCTCTTTTTGATCGAATAAGTAAATTTTAGTGCAAAAATGACTAAATGAATAAATAAAGGTTCCACCATCTCAAATGTTAAGATTTTCTTCTTCTAATAATTTAAATATTTTTTAATTTTTTTTTAAGGTTTTCTTTTTCTTTAGATTTTTCTGCAGAGTTATTTTAAATACTAGATTTTTCTGATTATACATTTACCTAAAGAACATTGTCAATGCAGGACTTTAACTTGTAGCAGAGTATTTTTACCATGTGATGTATTTTTACTTAAGTAAAAGGATCTGAACACTTCCTCCACCACTGCTGATATGTATTGGTGAGTCAGGCTAATTATAACTAGTTTGTAATAATGCATCATATTTTATAAAATGGTCATATATTTTCATCCAAAAAGTAACGAAAGATGTCAGATAAATGTAGCTGAGTAAACTGTACAATTTCTACTGCTGAAATGTTACGGAGTAGAAGTGTTAAGTAGAAGTACTCACGTACAAGCACCCCAAATTATACTGAAGTACAGTGCTTCAGTAAAAGTACTTTCTACCTCTTAAAAGATCAATGCTAGAATTTAAATTAAAGTTCTGTGGTTTTAAACGTGATTGTAACGACTGTGAGGATTAAAGAGTTAAACACTGAGTGATACACACACACACACAGAGGGACACACACTCACCTGAGATATGCACATCTAAAAGATGATATCAGGTGAACTCTTTAAAAAGGTTTATTTTCTGGCTCAGTTCACCCCGTCAGGAAAACTTGTCCAGTCAGTGCAACGCTGTGCAAAAAAAACTTGACATCTCTCGTCAACTTTTCCACAGAAAAGTTAAAGCTGTCACCTTTATTTTCTTTCACTGAGTGGAAACCTAGAATACCCTCACAATGAATTATTGATCATGCTGAGTGAGGACAGTGAGGGACACCAGCACAAGTTCCCCCCCAAAAAATAACAGGAATTAGCTGGCGTTGCTTTTCTTCAAGACTTTTGCCAGCAATGGGAATGGACGGATGTGTGTGTGTGTGTGTGTGTGTGTGTGTGTGTGTGTGTGTGTGTGTGTGTGTGTGTGTTTTACTTTGATGTCCTCATTCTGCCCTTTATTAACTTCACTTTCAACACTTGTTCACAGGAAAGGAAACGACTGCTGATTCATACGAGGAAGAACTTTACAGAGAAAAGTGATAAATCAATCATCCACACTTGTGTGAAATTACACAAAGATCTCTTGATGATGATTTGCTGAAAGTAGTGTTGGAATGTAACTAAATACATATACTCAAGTACTTTACTCAGGTACAAATCTGAGATACATGTACTTGTGTATTTCCATTTCATGCAGCTTCTCTCAACTCCACTACAAAGAACTAAATATAGTACATTTTACACTGACGGGGAAGATTTCACTGCACAATACATACTTTTCAAACTTTAAGTATATCTTGTGCTTTTAAATACTTTTACTTCAGTAAGGTTTTGAATGCAGGACTCTTACTAGTGGAGTATTTTCACAGTGTGGTATTAGTACTTATACTTCAGTGAAGGAGCTGAGGACTTCTTCCACCACTGTCTGAGAGTGCTGGGTTTTGTTGCAACACCACAACCTTGTGTTACTCCTGATAGAAAAGCTCCATCTGGTGGACAGTTGGAAGCAAAACATTGTCATTAATGTGTTTTTACAGTGCTGGAGGGAGTTTTAAAACTATTTCTGTGCCACTTTTCACATAAAAAACATTTAACTATTCATGGATTCTTTAACAAGGGAGACAGGGAAACTTTTTCTGTATTTCAAAGTAGAGCGTTTTTTAAATATCTTCTGATGTCTAGTGTAAAAACAGTAAACTGTAAAAATATCACTAGCAAAAAGTATAAGAAGTAAAGATACTTATGATGCAGAATGTCCACTGTTATTGTAATATAACTGTGTCACAGTATTATTGTTACCAGTGCATTTCCAATGAATGAAAACAGCAGTTTAAAGTGGAAATCAGTTTGACTTTATTGATCCCTGAGAGGAAGTTGTGATTTATTACAGATGCTCTGATGTAAAAAATAGATAATTATAATTATTAAGAGTAAGAGTATGAAATAGAAGGATGAAAATATAAAGCAATTAAATTAGATAAGATAAAATAAAATAAGATACAACAAATTAAAATAAAATAAAATCAGATAAGATAAAATAAAATAAATTAAAAAGATAAGATAAAAAGATAGAAATGAAAATGTACATTAAACTTACAAAAAATTAGTATATGCATTATGCTGTGTTTAACACTAGTACTAAAGATATAAAAATATTAAAGAACAAAGTATATATAGTCATTGTGCTGAGGCTGTAAGTGTGAAATTTCACCACAGTATACATCAAAATAATAAACATGAATCATCATGCAGTAAATGTTGATAGCACAATGTAATGGCTGTAGAATAACGACCCCATCAGCGTTTAGATTGGTTTGTTATAGGCTGCGCTTTGATGATACAATACTAGTCTGCCACCAGGTACGATCTCTTGGGAAAATGAAGGCTCCATTTACAACACAAAGGAAGTGCGTCAACTACTGTGCAACCAAAACAGGAAGAGGACAGTAGAGCTGAGTAGCATTCAATAAATTACAATACCAGTACCTTTGAAGTGATACTGATACCAACAGAGTACTTCATCTGATACATGTGAAGTTGATGGAGTGGTGTGTAGTACTTTCCAATGTCTAGATGGCACCTTCACACGCTGAACTGACAACTCACATGTGGCATTAAATGGAAGAAAGCTTGATAATCAAGTGGTTGGGAAACTGAGGGCTTAATTTACAACACAAAGGAAGTGCGTCAACTGCTGTGCAACCTGGTAGCCATCAGTAGATCCCCAGTAGCTGAAGAGTATCAATAGCCTTGTGTCCTTTCTACTTTCAAGCACGTTTTAAACATGCATATTGGAGGTGCTTTCAGTCGCTGGTTTGAAGCAAATAAATTTGGCTCTGCAAAGCATAGTTTTGGCAGAAGTTGGTGGTGTAGGCTACACTTTACACATGGCTGTAACCTGCCAGTAAACAGAGAAGAAGAAGTAGAGGTTGCGAACTTGACACAAATTAAGTTGCCTTGGCTGTCGAACCATCTACGAGAGAAAAACGGAGAGAGGATTCATTCATTCATTTTCTGTCACTGCTTATCCTGTTAGGGGTTGTGGGGAGAGTGGAGCCTATCCCAGCTGACATCGAGCGAGATTCTAATGCATAGATAGACATGGACAGAGGAAGCAGATGATCAGTCATGCGAGTTAAATGTTTGCTACATTGGGATTGGACGGTGAAGGTGTTTCCATATCCTATTAGCGCATCAACTCTTTGTCACCAAAGGCAAAAAATGTCACCTCAAGTGAGCATAAAAACTTTTTTCTTGCAATTGAGTTTTGCTGTTTCCATACAGCTTTTTGACTGCAATACTTCTATCTTGTGGATAAAAACATTTCTGGAAACATGTCTAATGTAAATTCTTTGCGGTTATGACCCCCAGTTGTGTAAATGATGGACGGGGGAACAACTGAAGTAACTGTGGAAAACAAAACGCCGTGTACGCTGTGTTGTTGATAGTTACAGCTCTGACAAAAAGCAATACGGTTTTCTTTGCGCAAACAATAACACCACTTGGAAATGCTTAGGGGGGAATGTGAAAAAGTTCTTTGCTTCCACATTTATGTTGTATCTGGTTTACTCCAGGTACTCCAGCTTCCTCCCACAGTCCAAAGACACGCAGGTTAATCACTGACTTTAAATTGCCTGTAGGTGTGAACGACTGTTTTTGATACTCTTTGGTAACTGGGGATGGTTACTGATGGCTACTCGGGAAAACAAAAGCGCTGTCCTCTAGAGCTGGGTATCAGTACTCACTACCTAAGGTATCAACTGAAATAACTCAGGTAACATCGTCACCAGTCAGACAATACCTGCATTTGATCCTTTTGTGTCCAGATCTGGAAAAAACAGACTATTTGTATGGTTTTGCTCACAGCCAATCACCACAAGCTTTCTTTGATTTAATGCCACAGCTGATTGCCCCACTACTGCAGCAGCGACAGCCCATTTAGTCCTGAATGAGGTACAGTCGAGCGTATTGCAGCGTATTTGATGGAGTCAGCGTGCTGAAATGTTAGAAAGTACAACATGCCACTCCGTTCACATTATGGGTATTGAATGATGTACTCTCTTGAGATTGTATCACTTTAGTGGAACTTGTATTATAATTTCATAAAACAATATCCAGTTGGACTACTTCCTGTTTACTTCCTGTTTTGGTTCACAATGGTTGACGCGCTTCCTTTGTGCTGTAAATGGAGCCTTCAATTTCCTGTTTCCACCATTTATTTCTTCTTTAATTACACTGCTTAAATAATTAAGGGAACACTTAATGGTCACAGTATAACACCAAGTCAGTTAAACTTTAGGGATATCAATCTGTCCATTTAGGAAGTACAAGTGATTGTGAATCAGTTTCAGCTGCTTTTGGTGCAAATCAAAGCGACAACAGGTGCAATGGAGAGACAAAAACAAGACAACCCCCAAAAAGGGAATGGTTTCACATGTGGTGGCCACAGACAGTTGCTCTCTCCTTATCCTGCCTGACTGATTCTTCTCTAGTTTTGTCTTCTGCTAGTGTCTTTGTCTCTACTGGTAGCTCGAGGTGGTACCTGCAGCCCACAGTCTCAAAAGCAGGGAGGAGATAACAAGAGACCAGCTGTTACATGAGGAGAGCTGGAAAGAGCCGTAGAAGGGCATCAACCCAGCAGGCGGACCAGTATCTTCTCCTTTGTGTGGAGGAACAGGAGGAGCACTGATAGAGCCCTACAACATGACCTCCAGCAGGCTGCTGGTGTGCATGTTTCTGACCACACCGTCAGAAACAGGCTCAATGAGGGTGGCATGAGGGCCCAATATCCTCTCCTGGAACCTGTGCTCACAGCCCAGCACCGTGCAGCTCGATTGGCATTCGCCACAGAACACCAGAATTGGCAGGGCCGCCACTGGTGCCCTGTTCTTTCACAGATGAGAGCAGGTTCACACTGAGCACATCTGACAGGCGTGAAAGAGTCTGGAGGTGCCGTGGTGAATGTTATGCTGCCTGTAACATCATCCAGCATGACCGGTTTGGTGGTGGATCAGTGATGGTCTGAGGAGGCATTTCCTTGAAGGGTCACACAGACCTCCATGTCAGAACCAACAGTACCCTGACTGCTGTTAGGTACCAGGAATAAATGAGTGATTGTCAGACCCTTATGCTGGTGCAGTGGACCCTGGGTTCCTCCTGGTGCATGACAATGTCCAGCCTCATGTGGCCAGAGTGTGTCAACAGTTCCTGGATAACGTAGGCATTGATACCACTGACTGGCCCTCTCGTTCCCCTGACCTAAATCCAACTGAGCACCTATGGGACATTATGTACTGGTGCATACGACACCACCAAGCACCACTTGATTTCCACTGACCGTTGTTACGTCATTTTATTCATACAACATACATCAGCAAAGATCTTCAACTTAAATAATGGGTTCATCAACATCTGATGTGTGATCTAAGTGTTCCCTGAAGTGTTTTGAGCAGTGTATTTCCACTATTTCCATTTTAACTGATACAGCAAACTGTATTCTACCAGAGTGAAAGAAACGTGAAACCGTATAAAACGTCACAGTATAATAGCGATCTGATGTGGGTGTAAACACTCCCATTGCCCCCCATGACTCTAAAGGATAAGCGCTTACAGATAATGGATGGATAGACACGTTCTGTTAGATCATTTAATTTACTCCAAATCAGTGTTTTATATGCTCATTAAAATCTTATTTTAAAAACCTATAATGAATGGGAGAAGAAGAAGAGTGACAGCATAAAATAGCATACAAAGGAAATACAACAGTAAAGGACAAGTGCCTCAGAATTTGATTCAGTAAAGTGTTTGGTGCTTTCCATGTCTAATTTTAGAAACCTCAGCAAACTGATTTACAGACATTCAGTTTTGGACAGCATTGATTTGGCTTCATATGAAGTGCTGAATTTCAGTGTTAATTTGAGTGCGTTTACATGCTTATCAAATTAATAGACTCTTTTTAATTTTTCACACAGTTTCACCTTTCTGTCTCTCTGGTTATGAACAGGTTGTTCCACCAGTTTAGTTTGATCCATGTCATCTCTGTTTGTTGTCTCAATCTGTTGTGAATCATTACCAGACATTTACAGTGTGTTCCAGCCTCTTCGCCATGTATTAGTTGATTTCATCACATGTGTGTCTACGATTGATTCATTCTGTAGCCCTTCTCCATACACAAGTGCTGGCCTGACCTGACGTGACACATCAGATCAGTGCAGCAGGGATTTACAGCTACCTCATGGATGTATAAAGAGAACTGGATACAGGGACAGAGCAGGGCTTTGTAGCTAATTTGACAAAGTGGCCAAACTTTTAGGTCTGTCATGTGACACCACTGGACCTGAAGACTTTTTCCCATAGACGTTCATTGTGAAAGAGATTTGTAAGCAAGCTCATCGATTTTTGAGACACATCAACTCCAAGTGCAAACACTAAAATAGCCCTTATTTAAATCATTCTGTCCAAAAAGGTGTAAAATTTAGGAGGTTAGGAGGTGGGGTTAAAGGATGTGGAAGATCCAGGTAATTTTATACCTGGAGATCAAACTGTTTAGACTTCATGCGTCACCAAGCAACTTTCATAGGAATGAGTATGGCCCTGCCTCCAACGCTGTATCCAGTTCTCTCTATACATCAGTGGTAGGGATGTCAGTGGTTAACCGTTAATCAGTTAGTCATAAGAATATTTTTGACAGGTAATGAGCTTCGGTCTATAAATTAATTTTGCTACTCTTCAGGTTACTTCACTGCACACCACCTGGATCTGCTGGGACCTAGCTAGCGGCCCACCCATACAGTGATGACCACCAGTGTTGCTGCAGAAACAACATGCCCACTCTGCGGTCTCCAAGGTGAGCAAGCGGCTTAGTTTTGAACCTTAACTCCCCTCTAGCATCGTGAACTAAGTTACGCTGTTACTGCTAGCACTGTTAGCGCCATTAGCAGTGTCAGCACAGCTATTGGTGCTACCATAGTTAACAATGCTACAGGGGTTTTGGGGCTCAACTCCATAGATGGTCCATTTCGCTGTGACTTGACGTGTTTACACTGCTAATGGAAATGCAAATCAACATGATATGGTTTGACTCAACCCAGCCAAAAGTGCCAAATGGAAAAATGCGATGCGTTAGCCTCATGATCATCTGATCCAAAACCATATATCTAATAGACCCAAGCCCTTCAGAACAGTGCCAGGCTTTGAAGCCAGTTTGACATAGTGGCAAAATGTGGAATTACAACTTCCAGGTCCATCACATGATGCCATTAGGCCTAAAAATACTTTTTCCTATTGACTTACATTGTGGAAGAGATGTCTGTAAATTGGTAGATACATTTTTTGAGCATCACAACACCCACGAAATGACTCGTTCCAATATCAGATTTTGATCCATTCGGTCAGACAATATTTCTCAAGTCTAGAAGAGCTGAACGATTAACTCATTTTCTTCTCCATTTAAGTTAGCAGAGTGCTAAACTGGAACTTAGCCATTCAATCCACAAAGTCTCTAGTGCGCCTGCTCTAAAGGGCCCAACGGTGCAGGATATCCAGGTAATTTCATACCGCGGCTATTGAGCAACTGTCATAAAAAATATTCAGACGGTCTACTCATATTTTTTTAAACATATATATATTTACAGCGATCAGCCAAAACATTTAAACCACTGACAGGTGAAGTAAATAACTTTGATTATTTTGTTCCAATGCATTGTTCTGCTGGGAAACCTTTGGTTCTGGCATTCATGTGGATACCACCTGACATGCTCCACCCACTCAAACACCATTGCAGACCAAGTACCTCCCCCCCGCCCCCCCCATGGCAACAGTACTCCCCAATGGCAGTGGCCCCCCAGCAGGATAATGCACCATACCACACTACAAAAACTGTTTACAAATGGCCTGTGGAGCGTGACAAAAAGCTCAAGGTGTCGACTTGGCTTCTAAATTCCCCAGGTCCCAATCTGCTCAAGGATTCTTGATATCCCAGATGTACCCCTAATCCAAGGTGGGGCCTCCTTGGATCGAACTTGGCTCTGACCTGTCGAGGCATGGACACAGGATCTCTGGGAGTGTCCTGTGGTGTCTGGCACCAGTGCATTGGCGGCAGATCCATTTAGTCCAGTGGGTTGTGAAGTGGAGTCACGGCATGTGCCACAGATGCTCATTTAGATTGGGATCTTGGGAATTTGGAGGCCATGTTGACACTTTGAGGTCTTTGTCGCATTCCTTGGGTCATTCCTGAGAGATGTTTGCAGTGTGGCATGGCATGGTGGGGGTACTTGGTCTGCAACAGTGCTTGAGTGGGTGGAACATGTCAGATGGTATTCACATGAATGCCAGAACCAAAGGTCTCCCAGCAGAACAATGCACTGGAACAAAATAATATTCACTTCACCTGTCAGTGGTTTTAATGTTTTGGCTGATCGGTGTAAATATATATGTATAAAAAATATGAGTAGACCTTCTGAATATTTTTTTCCCTGAGCAACATGCAAATAAGGAACCTTGATAACAGATCCATGATATAATCTTTTATTTTAACCCATGGGATTTAACTTTTACAGTGCATTTCTTTACAACAATTATTCATTAAGTGACAGGTTTTAGCCACCACTACGGATCAGATAACTATGTATGTTACATGTCTGAGTTCCTCTCAAAGATTTTGACTTCATGAACACCGTGTGAAAAAATCCCAAATATTAGACCACGGATAACCACACAGGTTAACTAATTCAGTGACATCCGATCATCCGTTGAAACGGTTAGCCTCGTTATTGAACCGAGCCATCTGTTAATCTTTAGTTGTCTCAATGTTATTAAGCAGCTAACTATCTGTACCAGTTAAACATACAGAGAGGTGGCCAATTAGAAACCTGCTGCCATCCAGAAGAAAGAAAAAGGCTTTAAAAATAGACAAAAACAAAATATGGCACTATTGTCTCAAGGAACAACCAGTAGACACAAACATAGATTTTTTTTTTTAAGGGGGGCTGTGGCCAAACTCCCCTGAACAGAACGAGAAACTCCAAGCACTTTGTTCAGTCTTTACTGCCTGTTAACAATCCGAGGAGGACGCATCAGTCAGATGGACATTCATTCTCAAATATCTCAGCAGAAAAACCTTGCCTCTGCGACGTCACTAAATACCCACAGTACCTTCAAATGACATTGTCTCGCATCAGAAGTAGACATTACAGAAAACTGTTGTCTCCACACGTTACTGTGTTCTCTTCCTCTTGACACATCGAGCACACATTCCACAAAACAAACAGCATGGCATCGATCCGTCCACACACACGTCCCCCAGAACGTATAATGTTGCAACATGGCTATACTGGAGAAAAGCATTGATAAAGACAGAACCACATTGACTGTGCATATACATAATTTTTGAAAACACATTGCAGCAATGAACACATATATACGACCCACCGAATGCACGTGAACATAAACTCGATCCAGTTATCCATTACATATTACATTCAGGCTCCAAGAAAAAAAGATGCAATGACAAAGTAAACAGCAGATTTCTCCCTTTTGCTCAAGTTTGGTCTCAAATTCCCTCATATACACAACAGCTAGTAGTGCACAAAATAAGAATACAAAATTAGACTTTTAAATACTGTAGCAGCAATTCTTTTCTTTTAAAGTTGAAAGCCTCCAGTAGTACAGGCAAAGGCTTTGGAGTCCCCGACACATGGAAGGGTGAGCGATTGTCCTCTGAAGTGCGAGACAGTGTCTGTAAGGAGGGTGCAGGTGTTTGGTACTAAAGGTGGGTGGACAGGTTGGAGAAGTGACTCGGACAGGGCACTGCGTGGAGGCAGCCGGACGCTGCAGTGCTCCAGGCTGAAAATGTCTTTGAACAGAAGGGGGTTTGTTCTGCAGGAAAACCTCCCCTGCTGACACACCTCCATCTCAGACGTTCCTCTTCTCCGCCTCTCAGACAGTCTCACAGTGCATCTCCACTCTGAAACCGAGCCTCCCAAAGAGTAACAATTCCTCCTCATCTTCCCAAAACCGCAGCAGGTTGGGGTCACAACGGGGCGCTCGGCTCATCAGTCCAAAACGAGCAGGACAGAGCCGAGGCGGGCCATGCTACACGACGCTTCTCTCAGCTGGAGGCTGTGGCGATGGCCTTCTTGAGCTGCTGGCTGCGGATCTCGCGGGTGCGGGACTCCAGGAGCAGGTCGTGGCAGGTGTTGCAGACCAACACTGGGTCATACAGCTGCTGGTCTGGGATGGGCAGCTTCAGATGACAACAGTCTTTACAGAACACGTTGCCACAGTTCCTGAAGATGGAGACCACACAGAGAGTTAGGAGGGAGCACACAGCAAAGGCTTCGCTCAGACTGCAGAGTGATCAGATTTGTTTCTCAAATCAGATCTTTGCAAGTGATCAGATCGTGTGTGTTCAGACAACACTGACCTATCTGTGTGGGTCGCTGTGGTAATGTGTGTCGGCAACTACGTTCCTAAGCTGTTGATGAAGCTTTTCAGCTCGGAAGCATGAGAAATGGAGGTCCATCATTTCGTCCTCCAAACAAGTCGCGGTGCAGAACTCCTCCATCGCACCAACTGAACTCCTCCATAGAGCTCTGCTAGTAGCAGCATGGATTCTGTTCAGCACTTCCGTCACTTTGGATTTGATGCTGTCATGTCGTGTTGCGAGTGTGGCAAAAGAGACTTTTGAAATACGATTTGAGCGTCCAGAGTGTCTGGACTGACGTGCATCTGAAGAAATCCGATTACCGTCACATTTTAAACCAAATCCAACTGTGGTTTGGATCCAATTTGCAAAAATCACATCTGATGTGGTTTTTGCGGTCCAGACTTTCTACAGGTATCAGAAACTTTAATTTAATTCTTTTAAATTTTTCTTTGAAGGTTAAGTATTCCTTTAACTTCCATGACTTTATAGGATGAACATGTTTAAATAGTGACATATGCAGAATGTATCTGATAGTCAGCTACTTCTACTGCAGCAAACAATTTGTCCATCCTCTGTATTTTCAGAGTAGTGCTCTGTTCGTTATAAATTTCTCTCAGTTTGGGACGACTGTCTCAGTGGAGCATATAAATAATTCTCTGGCTAACTGAGAGCCTTTCATTCTGAAACCATGGGCTGAAACTAAAGCTTGGTTTATTGCTTTGAAAATACAAAGCAAAGTCTGTGTTTGAATCGCAGGCTGCTGCTTTGGCAGAACTGTGCTGCAGCGACATAGTGCCAGGAGATATGTGTATATAAAAAACTCCAAAAAAGCTCTGCTGAACAAATGTTTATTATATCTGATGCTTTGAATGAGTGAATACACAAATCAGGAGGCTGTTAAACCTGATCCTAAAGCAGCTACTGTTAGAGACAAGGCCTAGAAGTTAAGTGAAGGAATAGTTTGATGAAGGAATAGTTTGATGAAAGTTAAAACTGACTCTCATGTCTGTACATTAAATATGAAGCTAGAGGCAGCAGCCATTAGTTTAGCTTAGCACAAAGACTGGAAGCATGGAGAAACAGCTGACTTCCAGCACCTCTGAAGCTGACTGCACCCCAGTTAACCCAGTACACACCTCCCTCGTAACAACATGATGTTTTTACAGTGCAACCAGCTCACCAGGCCGGCCACATCATCCTGTTTCCACTCTTTCTAGCTTTCTAAAGTCAAGCTAACCTGCTGTTGGCTGTAGCTTCATATTTATGTACAGACATGAGAGTGATATCAGTGTTTTTATTTGACTCTCAAGAAAGCAAAAAGCGAGAGATCTTCGTAATGAACGAGAACAACTTTAGCTGATCGGTCAATGAAGAGAATTTTTTTTATAGACAATTCTGATGATTGACAGGATTCATTAGAAACCGTGCCGATTACAGATTCTTGAATGTTTCTTGCTTTTCTGTATTTAAGTCATTAAATGAATAGGTTTCTGAAATTTCACTTCATACTGAGATAGTGGTAACTGGGGGCTGGGTAACTGGACAAATATAGCTATAGCTATCAGTTATCTGCGATTGATTGAGTTGTTTTTCTGGGTGATTCTTGTCATTTTATTTTGGTAATTTTGATGGTCTGCCTCAGAACAATGATTGAGAGCTGCTGCTGCTCAGACACAGTGGTAAAAATCAGTGTGTAGCTGAGCAGGTTTTCACATCTAACTCTGGTTTGGTTGAAATAAACCCTTAATTCACAGAGTTGGTGATTATTGGAACACTAGAACCACGAACCAAGATATGAGTGGACGAGTTTTATTTTGTTTCTGTTGAGTTTAAATGAAGTGTGTTTGACGATAAGTTACAGTTCACAGTACACACTAACAAGAATCAAGCTGATTTTGTGCCAGATTCCCCTCTTCTGACAATCATCAGCAAAGCACTGCTTTGTTTGATGTTGTCGATGTATGTTAAGTGTGATTTTTACATTCCCCATCTGCCCAGAAGTCTGTTCTGCTCGAACTGATTTCAAATCGCAAGTATTAAACATGTTCAGTATTAGATACGATCCACTGTCCTATTGTGAAGGGCTCAGGCTTTAACACGTACAGTACATGTTCACGCCGTCTCCACAACTTAATCCATGTTTTTAAATGTTTTCTTAGTAATTTTTCTGTCAAACGTAGTGCAAAAACTAAGGGCTACATCCTCCTGCTTGTCATCCGCCATGTATGTTTTCTCTAAAGTCATGTTTGATCACGAGAGATTTGCGAGATTTGAGAGTCAGGACTTTGGTTGTTCGTGAATGGAATCTGTTAGTGTGCGGTGTGACGTTAAGGCCAAATCGTTGCTCTCCATGAACTATAGGAACAAGACTTTTAAATTTATCTTTACATGTTGTGATGTGTAGGGTCTGTTTTCAACATTTTCAACATCGGCTAAGATTTGAAAAATCTTTTAGTGGGGGCTGTTCTCAAGCTAGCTCAGTAAAAGAGCGATACCACGACACAATCTAAATTTCATTAAGTATTTATTGATAAATAGAAAAACTTTTTTTTGACGGTTATTGATAGTGAAAGTGTCTGTTCAATGGGCTTTTATATACAGTATACGTTTATACTTAACACCCATGATTTTTTCTCTTCTACCTTTACATGTGACTAAATGTGATATTTTTGTGTTCTTGTATTTATTTAGGTAAGAAGGACACCCACCTGCAGTGGTGACGTCTCTTGGCTATCCAGAACTCACAGTCACAGTTGAAACAATGGGAGGCCATGTGGTCGGGCACCCACCTCGTGACCTACACACACACACACACACACACACACACACACACAGACATCTCTATCAGAACAGTGTGCTGTTATCAGAGGTGCTCCTCGTCACACAGGTGAGGGGGAGGAAGGAAGGTGATGAAGCGGAGTTATTTTAGACAATGAAGCAGTGAAAGATGCTGACCTCTGTGTCCTTGGGCTCCACTCGGTCCCAGCTACCCTCAGACAGACGGTCCTCGCTGTGGGTTGACAGAGAGTCCTCCTCATTACTGTTGTCTGACTCCCGCAGACACGTCTGAAAACAGAGAGAAAAGGGCAAGATCAGAAAACAGATGGGACTGACAGAGGAGAGAACACTTCCTGGGGATTATTAAAAGTAAACATTTACGAACACTGCTGACAGAAATAAGCTTCTAGCACTGGGCATTAACGTCATCACTGGTAAAAGCTACTCACGATGTCATCCTCGTAGTCGATGTCTGGCTCCGAGGGAGGGGTGCCATACTGTTTACTCTCCAGCCTCATCTGCAGCTGTCGCACCTGCTGCCTCAGCACCTCCACCTCCTGCTTGTAGCCCGCCTCGATCTGCCGCAGTCTCTGCTGCACGGCGTCCATGGGCACCGGCAGCCCGTCGTCATCCAGGTAAGCTGGGGCCTGGGGTGGGGGAGGGGAGCTGGAAGCGGAGGGCGAGGAGTATGACACTGGCAGGAGCTGATGGCCAGCCAGGGAGTAGCTGTTGAGGGTGGCGGCAGCAGCAGGCCCACACATACCAGCATAGCCTGAACTCCTGGCAGCAGACAGCCACCCAGCCTGCACAGGGCTGCTGGGACAACATAGAGCCTCTCTGCGGCAGCACTGGGACCCATTGGCGATGGCAAAGCCCTGGGAGCGGAGCAGCTTACTGGCAAGTCGACGACTCTGGTAAGTGTTGTGCTGCAAGGCCCGGCTGACGCCAGAGTGGCTGCCACTGCTGCAGGCAGACTGCACCAGACCCTGGACGCTCTCCCAGTGGGCGCCGAGCAGGGACAGGTCTGCGATCTGGCTCTGGGAGATCAGATGGCGAGCTGCTACCTGGGTGCAGTCTGCAGGAGCTGCTGCAGCTGTGAACACATGCTCTCTTCCTTTCACTATGTCTGTACTCATGTCCTCTCTCTCCTTCTGGGGTTGGGGTGACTCAGGCTCATCATTCAAATTATTCTGGGTCAGATGCTGGGTCACAGTGGGAGGCAGGGCGGGGGGAAGCTCTCCCTCATCTGTGAGAGTCTCTGTGGAGTCCTCCATGGGAAGGAGTGGTGTGAGCTGCTTCAGAGCCAGCAGCTCTGCAGATGCTGGGAGGCCATTTGTCTGGCTGTCACTGTGGCCGTTCAGCAGCAAGGTGGGTGTGGCAGCTGCAGGCTGAGTGCCGTTGCAGGGGAGAGGTAAGCACGGCTCTGATTTATGAGTGGGTGACGTGGTGCTCTCAGCAGTCCTACAGGGGCTCTCAGCCTCCAGCGGAGGTGGAGGTGGAGGGAGTGGAGGGTTAGTGATCTGAGGCAGAGCCTGTTGAAGGACAGGAGTGGGGAAGGGAGTGTGAGTGAGTGTGACGTCCTTACTGAGAGGGACAGGGGGAAGGGGCAGAGAGGGTAGGGGCTGTGTGGTGAGACAGGGCTCCTCCTCTGTGTCTTCACAGCTCTCTGAAACTGGGACACCCTCTGGGGTCTTGGCAGGACTCTGGTGTAGAGGTTCCCCCTCACTGCTGTCCAGTCCAGTGTCGGGCGTGACCTCATCAGAGACGTCTGCAGAGGTTTCCTCCGTGCTTGGCGAGGGCTCCAGGGCAGAGCGATCCTCCTGGCAGTGCTTATTGAGATTTGGGTCGCTGGATGTACGTGTCAAGGGCACCCCGTTCTCAAAAGCTGACAGCAGGTTGTCCATGGAGCGAGTCTTGGGAAGTCTGGAAATCAGAAATACATAAAAAGGTTTATTTTTTCCCCACAGGTGCCGAAATGGCAATGATGCAATTCTCTGTTTGGGACTCTAGAGGGCAGTGTTGCTCTCTAACATAAGGGAATTTTGAATCAATGTCTATCTCTGTACATGGACAGCTACAAACATTAAGCACAGATACTGAGTAGCTGATCAGATTTGCATCAAACAAACACACCTGTCCAGGGAACGGGAGGTGAGTTCGTCTCCGGTGACATTCGGGGGGAGGTAGAGCTCCATAGAGTCGTCCACAGCGGTGCAGGGGGAGGAGGTGGGCAGGTACACAGCCGTCCACAGCTGTAATGCTCGTGTGTGGCAGACTGGCTGCAGCACCTGGCAGACAAACAAGACACGAGGATCCCAGACGATCAATATACAGTAATGGTGGTGCCTGTCGGTGCTGTTCTACCACTGCTGTGGAGGGTTTAATATGACCTTTTTCATACTTGTCTTAGAGGTCAAACACAGACTATCAGAGTTTAATCTTCAAGTTAGAGTCATGCTTTAAATCTCTGATAGAAAAAACAGTTTGGGGATGCAAGTTAAAGTTAAGTCATATTAATGATTGATAAAGCAGCTTACTTAGAGTCTGGGAGGTTGAGTCTAAGAGAAATAAAACTAGCAATCTGCTGAGTCACTGTTCTTTTAAAGGGACAGCTCATCCCAAAATTAAAAATACATATTATACATATACAAGTCAGTCTTCTCAATGACTAAAAGGCTCGGTGGCTAAAAGTAGGAGGCAACCCCCCGTTATTTCTGTATTTAACTTGTGGCGGTTAATAACAGTATAATAGTAATAGCATTATAACAATGTAAGTTACAGTGTCAAAAGAGGTGGGTACCATATCATGACTGGGGATGTAGAGGAAGTTCTGGAAGTTCTTGTTTCCATTGCGAAGCAGGGACCACACAGAGCAGGTGCGCTTGTAGATGTTCCTCGTCTCCCTCTCGCGAGCGTTGTTGCACAGGAAGGTGCCATAAAGACACGAGTACGTATGCTGCACCAGCTTGACCTGGACACACGAGGGAGATGGAAGATGAAGTCAGGCAATGATTCAGATTCTTTATGGTTTGATAGTGCTCTGCTAATTCGGTGTAACAGCTCAATGATGTCAAACACCACCTGACAACAAGATTAGTTGTGGTTGTAAAATGACAGTGTATATCAGGTCAATTATAAATGAAAGTTTTGAAAGAATATGGGGTGCAGTAGGATCATCTTGCTCGGAGCAAAATCTCAAAAAATGATGAGATGGATGAAATGCACGGCAGCATGTACAAAGAAACATTTTTTCTGTCTTTCAACACTTACAGACAGTATCCCATCAATATTTCTCTGAAATACTGCACAAACAACCCAGGGGACTGATTTCATAATTAAAGGTTAATGTGAATGATAATTTTTGCATTTTGTTACGCAGAGCTTTGATATTATAATGAGGGAATAAAGTCAGTAAATTCGAGGGGGGGTAATTTCTAAATCTCGTAAGATCCCCTGGTAATATTAGTCCCAGGTGAATATAGTGACAAAAAACGTATATAATATTATTAAAAGAACAGAGAGAAGTAAAGAGTGCTGTACGACCACCCACCAGGAAGGCCTCGTTGAACTCAAACAGGCAGGGGAACTGTTTGAGCAGCTGGTGAACACAGTCCAGCCACTGCAGGAAGACGGGACACTGCTCGCTCACATCGTCAGCGTTCTCCTGGTGGCCGCAGCGGTCCCCAAACTTATGACCGTAGTCCAGCCACTCAGTCTCTACAAGCACCTGGAAACCCTGTGGACCACAAGGTAGTCAGTTATGGAAGTGCTAATATGACAGTGCAGCAAAAACTGATTCAGCATTACAGTCTGATAACATTGTCACCATTGACAGTAGAATAATTCAGCAGAGCAAGAGATATCGTCTACTTTATTCCACTAGTTATTCTTCCTTGTAAAAACTTGGCACCTATGTACCCACAATGCAACTCAACTGCTGACAATTCAGTTTCCTGTAAACAGACTTTAATGTGTGAAATTATTTCAGTTATAACAAGTGTATCTAAAATCCAACTGTATGCAACATTCTGTGGTCCAACTGTGCAGACTCTCACCTCTAGTGTCCTGTAGTAGGGGTCCAGCAGGACCTTGGAGAGGGCTACAATCTGGGGGGTGCGGTCCCACCCGTCCGAACAGTGCACCAGGACAGGACGGCCCTCCCTCTCCACCGCCGAACACACCAGAGTGGCTGCCTTCAGCATGACGGACAAGTGCTGCAGCCAACGGGTGCTCTCAAGTGCCGAAAGCCAGCTGGAAAAACCAGAGGTGACTGATCAGATACGGATAAATCAACACAGAGCCTGTCCCGACTGATGATGTGGTCTGAAGCCTAGATTTGGGGTGCTTCTCAAAGTCAAGGAAGGATCCTTGGTATTTCCAAGTTGGGTACTACAAAGGCTTGGCAAGACTCCTGCCAAGCATTTGAAGGTCACATAATGGAACAGTCTAAAGTGGGTTCGGGTGTGCGTCACTGACACTGTCCCGTCTTAACTTCCAGTTTTTGAAACAGCAAAAGAAATGTGCTTTACACATTCATGGTGATAACACATTTACAAGGACACTGAAGATACTTGCATTCAAATGCATTTTGCACTGTCATCTCTTCGCTCTTGTCCTGTGCCATTTTTTAAAGACAAGCACAGTCAAGAACTGGCGATGCATTAGTGCCCTCGCCTTACGAAAGTCAGAATAAACTTTAAATTAGGCCTTGTATATCAAGTTCAAGTGAAGATACAGTGACAGGATTTCATGCCTTTTTTCCCAGGAGATTAGATTACAAAATAGTCTGTTCACAGGGCTCTCAAAAAAGCTTTTTGGCAACTACAACTTATTCAGACATACGACCACATAACACCAATTCTAAAATACCTACACTGGCTACCAGTCACTCTGAGAATTTACTTCAAAGTCTTGCTGCTCGTCTACAAATCACTTTGTGGCTCTGGGCCCACATACATCTCTGATATGTTTGTGCAATATGAAACTCCCAAGAACCCTAAGGACCTCTGGGGCAGGCCTACTGCTTGTTAGAGTTAGAACAAAATACGATGAAGCAGCATTTTGTTATTGTGCAACGCAGACCTTAAACAACCTCCCTGAGACATTACACAAACCTGACTCTGACCACTTTAAGGTCAGACCTAAAAGCTTTCCTGTTTTACACTGCATACTCTACCTTTTAATTTATTTCACTTGACTTAAAGTGCTCAAACTTCTTTCTAAAATGTTGTACCTCTTGTATCACTGGCTTGTACTTTGTAAATGAATCCTTTACATTTGTTGTATCTTTATTACTCTGTAAAGCACGTTGAATTGCCCTAGTGTATGAAATGTGCTGTGCAAATAAAGTTGTCTTGGCATTTCTTGCCTCAAATTTGATCATAACCAGATTTTGGTAAAAGTGACTGAAAGTTCACTTGCATCTTCTTTAGAAATCGCCGGACAGGAATGATGCATCGTGTGCATAGGATTGAAAATCCTTGAAAATTCTCTGAACAAATTATCCTAGACATTGACATAATCCTTCGGCGGGATTTCAATGACACAGCATGCAGCCATTTCAGGATCCCTCCTTGACTTTGCGAAGCACCCGTTGCAACATCAACAACCTCTGGTCACTCTGGGTTATCTTAGGTTGACGGGGTTGAGAGGAGGAAGCCTCTGACCTATACCTATGGAGGCCTCCCTGTGTCAGTACACACCTCCATCAGAGTAACAACAAGCGTCAAAAATAACACGGTGTGAAGTCATAGCTGGGTTAACCTATGCACTGTACATACAATCGCACATGTAATACATATACACAGATGTAAACACACTAGTAAAGCATACACAGCTGGTAAAAACACACAGAACAAACGGAAACACACGTCTCTGCTGTCGCTGTGTACAGACAGATAGCTGGCCGGCCCAGCACGAACAGGAGTGGACTGTGACAGCGTTCCCATCTCTGTGTGGTGTTGCTTACTGTGGCCATTAAAACAGGGGGGAGGGAAAGGGAGAGGGCGGCACTGATGAAGGCAGAGCTGCACGGAGAGAAAGGTCAAACAGATCGACTTACTTTCCCGGATCGGGAATCTGACTGCAGACGGTCCTCAGGGCCTGAAAGCTGTTCCGGATGGCGTGGATGTTAGCCATTCCCATGAACATCACCTCACAGTTAGGGTAGTACTCTGAAAACAAACAGACATAAACAACACTGATCAAGGTCATCAGACATAAACAACACCTAGCCCGTGTGATACAGTAGCATCATATGTTCAGATGTTGGTGTTTGCTTTTATCATCTCAGACAAACAGAACATTCATGGTTTTGAGCAGTGAGACCATCACTGGTGGCATGTATCATTTGCTTACTGAATATCATATGTCAAAGTGGACACTGACATTAGATTTGACCTCTGCAGAGTGAGGCCCCCGAGACTGCACGCAGAGCAGCACCTTCTTAAATACATGTGTGGAAAAGCAGAACTGACCCACTTAATACTAGAGATGCAACGACTGCAATTTACTTGGCTGTTTCCGATTTCAGATTTTGGCCGATTCTGGTTTCCAATTTTTTTAAAAGTCTGACCTGCCAATTCTGATTTTCCTTCTCTCTAAGACAGCATACACAAACATTTTTGTAACTTTTCTTCAATGGGAAATTCAACTGTATGTTCATAATAAAACACTGACTATTGAATAACTTTTACAGTTCCTCACAAACTGCCCCAGGTGTTCATCAAATCAGCGAATCATTCAATGCTCATAATCTTGCAGCTTTGGACTCTTAAAAGCAGAGATGGGAGGAGGAATTTGGAGAGCAGATATTGGAGGAGGTGTGGCATAAAGCTATTCAAAATATTTATTCATCCTCTATTTGTCTGAGACACACTGTTTAAGATTGTACACTGACTCCACTGGTCCAGAGCAGTGATACTGATCCAGTCTTCAGCCACTTTATGTCACATGTTCTGGTCATGTCCCAAACTATTTCATTTCTGGGATTTAGTATTTAAAAATTTTTCAACAATGTTTGGACGGCTGGTGGCCCCATCTATGTCCATGGCAATATTTGGAGTAACTCGCTCCAGTAACTTGGAGTGCTCACTTCTGGCCTGAAGGCTCATCCTGTGTAATTGGACAGACTATTCACCTCCAACATACGGACATTGGATTAAGGATGTTATGTATCATTTACAGTTGGAGAATATCTGTTGTTTTATTTAAGGATCCACATGGCAACCATTTTTAACTTTTGTGGCAAATATGGTAGCTGAAAAATTGTAATGAAACACACTATACTCCCCTTCTTATGTCACACAGGTTAACTGATTTGTCGTTGTTTCCCCCTTTTATTTTTCCTTTCTTTCTTCTGTATTGGATTTTACTTGGACTGGTCTGTTTGTTCCTGTGCTGATGGGTGGATGGGGTGGTCTTTTTGTCCTTACTGGCTCTGTGTTTGTTTATTAATACTCTGTATATCTTTATTTAAGTGCCAATAAAAATACCTTGTTTTAAAAAAAACAAAAAACTGCAGCAGGTTCTAGGACCTTATCTCACTCTTGTCTTTGTTCAGCCATAGTAACCATTAACTCACAACTCTAAGAGAGACCGGGAATAAAACAGTACGCCGTTTCACACACAAGGGAGTTGAAGAGCAAGTTTGGTGTGTGTAGCTTTGCCTACCCTCTTTGGTGGACCCGCCACTACTGGGTGATGGAAAACACATCGCTTACTGTGCAATGCTTGTTTTTTTTTCCCCTGGAACACCCAGTTCATAATACAGCAAATATAAGGGCTTTCATCACCATTGTATTACCTTGTTCTAATACCTCGTTAACATATTTACATTTTATGCACATATTATATTAGACTGTTCTGAATACTCTGTTTCTAGCTGTTTATTTCTAGTTTGGCTACAACCTGACAGATTTCTTTACACTTCTATATGTAGCTACATGCTAACATCAGGGAAACATGAAATCCTTCCAAATTTTTCATATGGAAGACCCACAAACACTGAACAATCAGAGCAGACTGGGCTTTTTCGGGAGGGGGGCTTGAAAAGACAGATGCTAAAATGGAGCGTCTCAGACAGAAGGTGAATACAGGTGTTCCAGCACAGACAGTGTGAGGAAAATAAAGTGTTTATGTTACAACCTGTCGACGTGTTCTGGTAGGCACTTAAAATACATGTATGAATCTCAAAATGAAAACATTAGGTCCCCTTTAAGACTTCTCAAATGTTTGGTCGCACTAACCTTCACACTCACAGCCTCCGCCCTTGGCTCGGTTGGCCACTGCAGCGGTGTATGAGCGAGCATCCAGAATCAGCAGCTTCTGTGGCACGGTGTTGTCATTGCAGCCAGAGCCGCCCGTCAGAGAGGAGTCTGGAGAGACAGGCAAGAGGACAGAGAGATGATATTTTACTGTTGTGAGTGGACAGTGCTATGTGAATCAAAATGGCGCAGAGAGGAAGAGAGAGAAAGTGTGAAAGCAGAAGGAGGCAATCAGAGAAGCGCCACAGACATGATAAACAGAAACTGACTCGATTTGTAACCTACTGAGAATCAATATCTCCTCCTGATGACACTGCCACAGTGTTGCTACGAGTAACGGTCACAAGTCAAGAGACCTGCTTTCAACCGTGTGGAGACAGACGAGTAATTACTGATGAAATAGTACATAATCTGGGCACAAAGTAAGGCGCAAGTGGCAAAGGGGCTGTATTTAGTCCCTTAATCAATCATAGGTGTGTTGTGGGCATAACAAGAATTAAATTGATCATTAGGTCATCTCCTATTTAATTTAAAAGCACCTGACACACCGCTTTTTACATGGCGGATTCGGCAAATTAGAGAAGCAAGCGGTTTTCTGCTGAGAGAAATGTAGCAGCAGTGGAGCAGTAATGTCTCTGCGGCAGATATCATGGGACTTTTAGGCAGCAGAACTAAAACCTGTAGTTATAAACTTGACAGAGGAAACAGAGCTAAAAGCTTAGCTTCTGATATAATGAAGTTACACTGCTCTTCATGAGTAAATATGCTCAGAGTCGCTTTTAATGGGGAGTCACACAGCAGCTCTTTAGCTCTGCTCTCTGATACATTCACATTTTACATAATGTAAAATAGCAATAAGCCAACAATTCTACTGACAACACCTCACTTTAAGACCTACACATCCTTGGGTGCACAGATTGGCACAAGGACATTTGCTACTTTCACAATGTGGTGCTGGCCGTGAAAATGAAAATGTCTGAAACTAACAATTACCACCCAGCATCGTGTGTAAGATAGGGCTCAGAGTTGTTTTTCTCCGTAAGTTACACTGGCAGGTATCCCACTTAAAGATTTATATAACTAAGCCTGATTAAAATGCATATTAGATACTGCATGCACTTGATTTTAATTTTTGGAGCATGTAACCAGTCAGAAAGAGGCGCATAAATGTAATTTATTGCTAGGGTGTTAATTAATTTTAAATTGTTGACAGTGTATTTGCTGATGAAGCTCAATGTATGCAGGCATAATTGAAAATAGTGTATCACTTGGCACTTATGTTAATCATCATTATTTGTTGGTTGTCCACTTTGGAAGTAAGAAAATTAATGAGACATATAAATAATGGAAATTCATGTCAAATTATCAGCCTGAATTCAAATGTATTCTCGAGAGCTACATTGCTCCAACAGTGTACGCAAAACGTAAATCAATAAAAAGGAATGCTTTACCAAAATCACTGTCGGAGGAGTCGGGAGCTTCCCCGCGTTGTCGGCAGGCTGGTGCTCCACAGGTACCCTTGGCTCCCGAGTCCATCTGACAAGCCTTAGCGATGGACGTCACCAAGTACTCATCGTCCGTGTTTCTCCAGCCCCACCAGCTAATCTCCGGCTGGCTGCAACGGGAGATCACCGCCCCGTTCTTCTGGTGCCTGGAATTCAAGGTCACAGAGTCAGTAATCCCAAGTGCAGATCTTAGTATCAGAAAGGAAATGCTGTTGTGCATGTTGGTGAAACGTGTGATAGTGTGTATGTGATCCACCTGTAGACCACCACGGGGATCCTCTTCCAGGACCTGAAGGAAGCCACACTCTCCAGCTCCTTGTCTGTGATCCAGATTGGAACCAGAAGCTTCTGTGGGTAGCTGGAGCAAAGCCTGTGGACAGGAAGGACAAAACACATTACTTTTATAGAGGAAGGTTAAATGCAGTTTATATTGCTGGAAACATTAGACGGCCATTAAGGTTTATTCCAGGGAAACGGAAGTCCTTGGAATACACATTCAAATTACTTCCCATTTCCCAAGAAATACAATAACGGGAAGACGGGAAAAACTAGTGACATTCTGGCCATAAACTAAATAGATGGATATGTACAAAATGCATATCACTACAGAATACACAAAATCTTTACATCTTCCCATGTGGATGCAAATCTTGGAGCTGGCAGGGATGCAAAACTCAACAGCACAATGGTAACTTCCTTTTGGCCTACCAAATTGAGGGCTCTGCCATCTAAGTTCTGCTGGCCCTACACCAAACAAAGTTTTAGTCCTTTGAAAGTCTTTTCTAAGTCTTCCAGTGTATGGTAGGCATCAGGCTAATACAACCCGATGTCTGCCTCCAGCTTTGTGTGGAAAGTCTTCAGATGATTCAACAGTGACGAACAGAAAATAGAATCCATCTCAGCTTAATAGAATGACTTTGAATACACCAAATAACTTGGTTTAACAAATTGCATATGTACTGACAATAAAACACTGTCAGTTACTTCCATGTTCTCAGCAGCCAGCTAACTGATAAAATAAATGGTGTTCTTTTGCCTTAACAATTATTAATACCACCAAATAATACAAAAATGAAGTCAGGTTAGGAACCCATACATTTAAACATGTTTCTCTGTGTTGCATTTAGTGTTGCTAGAAGTATGGCCGATGCGTTCTAACTGTAGCTGAAGATATGCCTTAAAAAGAAAGAGCCAATTTCCCAGGATTTCTGGGATAGCGCGTTCCTGCTCCCAGGACAGAAAATGTCTAATTTTGAGAGGGGGGGAAAACCCATTTACATTTCATTAAGGCTTGAGTGACAGGATGTATGTGGATAGTGTCTTCAGCTTCTCAGTCAGAGCCACTACTTGCTAATCCACTGTGCCAGCCTCTCAGCCTACCTCTCTAGCTCCAAATAAAGACAGCGACAACCAAAAGGCTGAACTTGAGGCTTCAAAACTGGAGTCCACAAACCAGTGGATGACGTCATGGTAGCTACATCCATTATGTTTACAGTCTATATGTGTTCCCAGCCAGTGCACTCGGACTGACTTAACACAGAGTCTATCAGTGAAAAAAAAATACAAGACCCAAACAAAATAATACTCTGAGCTGCAGCAACATTCTTAGACAACACAAATGTTCTGGTTTTCAGGGTCACACTACTTCATCAAGAACGCTCAGCTCTGAGAGAGAACAAATAACACAGTGCTACAGCCCGACTCCATCTGCTCTCCTCCTCTCTCATGATACTTCCCTCAATGTCTGTTCACCTGCTGACTGTCTGAGGAGTGAAGGGGAGATGGAGACAGTGTGCCTGTGTGTGTGTGTGTGTGTGAGCGAAATACTGTGCTGAGTCATGGGCCTCAGCAGGCTGCGGCGCGTTTAATTAGCCAGTTGTCCTGTGTGTCTTTCTCCCTCAGCAGGATGTGCTCTCTTGGGCCCTCCGAGCAGACTGACCTTTTTTTTTTTTTTGGAGTATTTATTTGTCCAGACAGCAAAGGAGACAAAAGAGTCGGACACACAGGTACACACACACACACACACACGGTATACCGCATTATTTCTGCTTGAGTGAGTGCTACAGTGTTGTTTATTTGTCCATGTGTTAAAGGTTAACTTCAGTATTTTACAACCCAGACCCTATTTTCCCATGTTTTCGTGTCCAAGGGACTAATTGGTTTTTGAAATTGGTCCAATATTGAGTAAATCGCTGGCCAAACAGCCCACAATGCAAACACTCGGGGCATGTTGCAATGTCAATGTACTTCCACTAAAAGTGCTTGTTTTTGCCACTGGCAGGCTTAGATTGTTATTTTAAGTGTCTGACAACATTATGGAAAGGATCCCTACAGAGATAGACC